TGCCTGGTGCCCCTCCCAGGCTGCTGCTGCTCCTCCCTCCTGCCGCCACCCGCTCCACCAGGATGCCATGCCCCACACTGGGATACAGCCCTCTCCACCGTGTGGGCCACAGCAAGGCTGAGCCGGACCACTGCTCCACCTCCTGCCTCCCTAAAACAGCCCACCACGATCCCCCCGTCTCCTCGTCCCCTGCCCAGAGGGACGGGGCTGCACAGAGCATCCCTCGCCCAGTCAGGCACAGCTCACCCACGGGACACGAGCTGATCAGCCCTGGGAAGAAGGAGGAGTTACGGAGAAGGTAGGCACCTACCTCAGCGCATCCAGCCCTGTGCTCCTGCGCTCCCTCCGTCCCCAGTCCCACAGCCCACCCCTCCGTGGCAGCGCTCCCAGTACTCCCCAGTCCCGCCCAGTGCGGGCTGAGCGCTCCCGTGGCAGAGGCAGCCAGCCCTCCCCTACACAGCCACCTGCCAAGGGATGGGGCACAGGGGACAAAACCATCCCTTGACCCACCGGCGCCCGTCACCGGGGGGCCTGGGCCGCCCCTGCACCCCCCGCCTGGGAGGGGAGCTCCCAAAGCGACCAGCCTGGAAGCACAACCAGGCAAGTCACAGACCGCAACACCCCAAACCTGCAAATAGACATAAACACCAGTCTGCCCAGCCCCAAAGACACCTCGTCCTGGTTTTCTCCGGGAGGGTGAATCAGGGCAGTCGGGTGTAATTTTGTCCTCGGTCTAGAAAGTGGTATTTGAATTTGGAGCTGGCTTTCCCCAGCCATCAAACACTGGTGAAGAAAGAGTGGGATCTAAGCCACTGCAGGCAGCTGGGCTGCTCTTCCAGTGCAAACCTTTAACTCCTTCTTCCCCGGTCCTGGCCCCAGAGCTGGCAGCAGCGAACCTCCAGCCAGCCCGCAGCTCTGCGCAGCTTGGAGCTCTCCAAGTTTATTAGTGTTGAAGGGCTGGATTTGGGGTTCTGTTCCTTTACAGAGTGGGGAGGCAGGGGGAAAGACATATTTCAGGCAAATGGAAACTGTCAGAGATTGAGTGGAAAATGAGGATGCTCACTTCGAGGATGTGAGCAGTTTTTTTAATTAACTGACATGTTGGAATAAAAAAATTGGTTTCAAGCCACCAAAAAAAACCCCAAAACAAAGACCTGAGCACAAGGGTTTGTCATTTACAAAACAATCTATCAAAGCATTGGTGCTTCTGGGACTGATTTTGTTCTTCAGGGCTTTTTAACTTTTTAACTGCCATTGAGCAAAACTAATCCTGTCCTTCCCAAGAGGGTCCAGAGGAGCATCGCACTCGGCCCGGGACCAGTGTGGTCCTGTCACTGCAGACCCTGTTGCACAAGGACAGGTTTGTCCCCAGCAATGGGACGCTGGTGGCACCCCGTCCCCCGGGGAGAGAACAGGCTACAGGAGCCTTTTTCCCGGGGCGCTGGTGTGAATTGAAGGCAGCCTCGTGCTCTGGGCACATTCCGTCGTGCATGCATGAATCGGGTTATATGGGCAGCTCCGGAAGGTCAGCTGCTGCTCAGGGAGCATGCCAAGAAGGAAAACAGTCGCCTCTCTGTCTGGGCAGCGTTATCCCACCAGCCCTGACCAGTGGCCAAGAGATGCCACTGGCCAGCCCTCGCCTCTGCTCCTGCAGAAGGGAGGGTTACATAATTTCTTGCGTTCCCAGCAAACCGTCAGCGTGGAGTCACACCAGGGCAGCTTTCCTGCCAGGATCAGCGCTGCGGAGAGGTTTTGCTCCTGCCAAGCTCAGCTCAGACGTGAGCTGCGTGCTCCGGCCATCTCGGCCAAGGGCTGAGCTCTTCCTGCGCCCGTCCAGAGCAGATTTCCTTCCTTCCACCCTGGCCTGCCCGGCTCCAGACCCCTGCGCTGGCTCCCAGCCTGGCAGGCCAGGCTCAGAGCCAGAAAGACCCTTCAAGCACACGATCTCCCTCCCGGCTTGGAGATCTGCAAATTCTTTGCATTTGCCTCTGAATCTCCCTCGCCGCGGCTGCTCTGCCCTGATGCTGCAAACCCAAAGATGCCGCACTGCTCATCACGATTGTCCTGGTTTCGGCTGGGATAGAGTTAGTTTTCTTCCTAGTAGCTGGTACGGTGCTGTGTTTTCAATTTAGTATGAGAATAATATTGATGACACAC